TCCCACAGGGCAGTGTTCTAGGTCCGGTCTTGTTTACTATCTACGTGAATGACATGCCAGAAGTGGTAAACTGTTCTCTGAAATTGTTTGCGGACGACACAAAGTTGTTTAGACCAGTACCACAAGTACGAAACTGTGAAGCTCTACAACAAGACTTGTCTAGTCTACAAAAATGGGCCGACAAGTGGCAGCTCAAATTCCACCCTGATAAATGTACGGTCCTGAGGGTTGGTAGTGGCCACCCGAACTTCACTTATAACATGTCCGAAAACAACAACCCCTTACCTATATCCCTGAAGGTTTCCTCAGAAGAGAAAGACCTGGGAATCCTAGTAGACAGAGACTTGGGCTTTGCCAATCATATAACAACTATTGTAAAAAAAGCAAACCAAATAATGGGGCTAACATGGAGAACATTTGTACACATGGACTTAGAAATGTTTCTCATTCTTTACAAGACCATTATCCGTCCTCACCTAGAGTACGGAGCCCCCATTTGGTCCCCACATACTTGGAAACTCGCTACAGAACTAGAAAAAGTACAGAAGCGAGCGACAAAGAGAGTACCAGGCCTGCAGGATCTTTCATACTCAGAGAGGCTCAAGAAACTAAAACTACCTACCCTGGTCTACAGGAGATTGAGGGGTGACATGATCAACGTTTATAAATACACACACGGGATGTACAATACAGCATGTCTACTACCAATAACAACAGAGAAGAGAACTAGAGGTCATCACCTGAAAATAAAGAGGACGCAGGCAAAAACAAATATGCGCCTACACTTCTTTACAAATAGAACGGCAAGCTGGTGGAACGAGCTTCCTGGGGAGGTAGTTATGGCGCCTAGTGTAAACAGTTTCAAGAAGAGGTTTGACGAGTATATGGAAACACACCCGGTCGTCTACAATTATAGAGCTTTGGACCACCCACTACGTCCAGAGATGTCAGTAAACTGAAGAGCGGCCCAAATTGGAGCAGGACTCCTACCCGGCATGAATCAACTCTACTCTACTCTACTCTACTCTAATACATGTAATAAAGTGCCAAGATTCGTTCCCAACCTGTCCCTGTGTTACCCCACACCACAGGTGCAGTCAGCTCGGGACTCCAATGCTGCAGAGATGAACAGACTAAGAACCCAGCTTCAGAACCTCACACAGTCCATAGAGGAGCTGGAGAAGAAGGCTCAACGACTCAAGAAGGAAAATGAGACGCTGCTACCTGAAAGAGACATTGTCAGGGTGGGTTGACCGTCTTGTTCCTGAGCTTTCAATACCATAGATTGATCCCAGCATTTCAAAATGTAGAAATGCAGGGAACAAAGCATAGAAAAGCACCAGCCTGGGAGCATCAACTTGAATTCCTATTGGTTGAATGGTCATTTGATTGACAGCTAGAATCCCATCAAGTACAAGGTCTTGTTCCATGTAAGAGTACTTAATAAAATTGAGACTTAGAAGAACTTCATAATCTTCAACCATGTTATAATTACAACTTGGTTCCTTTCAAATCAATTTTCATAGTATATTGCATTATAGCGTCTGATGGCTGATGCTATAATTGAAGTTTGTGGACTGAATTTTAACAACCAGATCTAGTACATGTAGTATGTTAGTTGAGGTAAGCTTTTAACAGGTACCCTTTTAACTCACAGAACCAACATGACGAGATCATCTCACAACTAAACCAGCGGATGGCCGACAAGGCTGGCAAGCAGATCACGCTGAACGAAACACGGGAGAAGCTACGAGAGACAAACCAGGAAATTCTGGATGTGGAGCAGGCCATCATTGATCTGAAGGAGGACATGATAGAAGAGAGGGCTAACGCCAGGCTCGAGAAGAAGCGCCTAAAAGACAACATCGCCGACACGCAACAGAAGATCAAAGACCAGAAAGAGGCCAACGAAGGTCTGAAAAAGCAGATCAACAACTTGATGGAGGAACTTCTGGAGTCAGACACGAAGAATGCAGAACAGAAAAAGACCATCCGGCGGTCAGAAAACATGGTGGAGCGGCTGGAGAGCCAGGTCAGACAGCTGGAGGAACAATTGGAGAAGGAGAAACAGGAAAACGTTCAGCTGGACAGAGAAGGGGACCGGCTGAAGGAGGAGTTCGAGAACATCAAAAAGGACCTGACGGGCAAGAAAGCCGAGCTGCAGAAGAGGTTGCAGGAGTTAGAAGACGAGACAAAGGAGGCACTGGAGGAGAATCAGCAGGTGGAGTCCCGCCGAGCTCACCTGAAGGCGGAGACTAAGAAGGCCGTAGAGGAGATGGAGTACAGCGCGGCTAAGCTGGAGGAGCTGAGGGAGATCTCCAGACAGGGCAAGGCGGAGCTGACACGGCTGGCGGAGGAGAGCGCCCGGCTGAGGATGGAGAACCAGGAGCTGGAGCAGGGCATCGAGCAGCTGCAGGAGAACCACAAGGCAGCTGTACAGATGCTGAACAAACAGGTGGAGGAGTCCAGGGAACAGCTGACCAGGGAACGCAACGACAGGTTTGAACTCCAGTCCAAGAAGTCAGACACGCACAAGGACCTGGAGGAGTTCAGAGCAAGCAGCTCAAGGTATCTTTGACACCTGTCTTTCTATGTGCCGAGAAGACTCAAATGCTTGATAGATGAGGATTGTATATTAAAAATTCAATGTTTACAAACTTACATAGATACCGGTATGTGGCAGTACATGGCAGTACATGGCAGACCATTGCAATTTAACAAAAATCACATTTATAAATGCCTTTTCTGACTTTCTTTTACTAATAACCAGCACAATGTATAGGTTCTTTTTTCTAAACTCACTATCATGCAACATGTACAAAATGTTTAGTATCCAATAAAGTCATTTACCTTTTTGTTCTGTTGTCAGGTTTATGGGAGAAATGAACCGCCGAATGGAGGAGGGGAAGAACAAACACGTTCAGCTGACAGAGGAGGGGAAACGGCTACAGAAGGAGACCATCGAGGACCAGCAGGCCATCAAGAAACTCAAGTCCAACATCAAGGTAGCTGAGAAAAGCTACAAGGAGATGGAGAAATCTTCGAAAGGAGAGATCGAAGGTTTGGAACAGAGCGTCAGCAAACTTGAGAAGGGGATAGAAGACATCGGTAAGGAGTTAGAGGAGAAGACGCCCATGTGTGATACCTTTGAGACGGAGTTTAAGGAGATCAGTAAGGCATACGAAGAGAGGAAGAAGTATGTGGTCCAGAGTAAGAACAAGAAGAGTGGACTAGAGGACTCGGTGAACAGGGCAAAAAGGCAGATTGAAAAGATGTCTCACCCGAGAGGAAAGCTACAGGATGATCTGAGAAGCGGCAGGGCCTCCGCCTTACAACAACTTAGAGACCATGCAGCCGAGGTCAAAAGCGTGGAGCAAGACATCTACGAGTCCGGACGGAAGCTTGAGCAGGTGGTAGATGAGAACAAGCGGTTCAAGGCAGCGAACAAAAATCTGCAGAACGAGATTGTAGGGTTGAAGGAGGATATCGAAAGGAATAAAAGTCAGAGGGAGAGACTAGAGGAGCTCTCAGCTCTGCTGAAGGGGCAGGTAGTGGAGGGCTGGGTCAGCGACGTCGCTGCACAGAAGGAAAGTGCCGAGAGGGACAGTCAGATCCTGGAGGACATCTCGTCTTTACAAGAGAAAAGTAAAGAGCGGGAGCAGAAGCTGACCGATATCACGTCAAAGCTTGAAGGCGAGCTAGGGTTGCTGGTCAGTTTTCTGGACAATGTGGCCAGCAGGCGACCGGTGGACACACGGCAGAGCATGAGGCCCGACGATGCTGCACCCGTCGACTCCCAGCCTGTTGTTCTGACCAGGACTGGGAGGCGGCAGGTGAAGAGGCCGTCCCTGGCACCTTCTAATCCTACAGCACCGCTCTCCAACTGGAAACCCTGAGCCCTATCTGCTGGTCGACTACTGCCATATTGTCCAGAAAATGCCTTTCTAGCGTAGCAAGCTTTCCTGCTTCTGTATTTCGCTGCAGTATCTTTTCCACCTTACCTACAATATTTGGTCTTCACAGAGGCTTCACAATAGTATTTTCCATCTAATCCCTTGCTAACATCTTTGCAGCTTCTAGTGTCAGACCAGGTGTAACCTGTAGCATGCTAGTAGCTATTTCACACACCTGACTGTGTTACTGCTTTGCTTTAACCTTTCATGCTAAAGGCAAACTGTATGTAGTAAAGCAGCATACATTTTCAAACTGTCATCTACATTCTTTTCTACTCAAAACTTGCATACAATAAAAGAACTGGCCAGGTTGTCTTTGACTTTCGAATAAAAACTTTATTACCAACATGTTTTAAAAATATCAAAAGCTGTTCTGATGCATACAAATGTATTTTAGAACAGAACTTTTTTCCCAGTATAAAATAGATACTGTAACAATGATAATGTCAATCAACCTGATAATAAATTTATATCAACATGTGGTGTTGCCTGCTGATTTCCATTACTGCATACATAAAAACTTCTAGGTATTGTCTCCTTGAACACTCACCATCTTTAGATGAACAAGGGCAGTAAAAAACAAACAAAAAACATTTCCTATTTCTACATTCTGATATCAACTTGCTTTATACATACAAATTAAATGTAATTAAAATCTTCAAGTGAGGTATTTCATGTATCCATTGTTGTCACACAGAATTGCATAGAACTGCTCAGCAATCAGAAAAATCATTAGGTAGAGGGGAAAAAAATGTGTTTCCTGTTTCAGTCTTGAAAAAATTAGGGTCGGTAGGTAGGGTTTATCTTTTTTTTAGACATTGGCCAGATCTCTATATAGTGATTCAATTTATACAATACAGTTTAACAAAGTAAAACTCATAGTTCCAATATCAATGTTGGAAAACTGATTGTACAATGTGTTATCACTCAGGTGTCATATCATGGAGCTAGAAAAGGTTGATCAGCTCAAAAAATGTATGTCCTTTTTGACTCCTTTGCAAGGGTCAAAAAAAAACAACTAGGGTCGGCAGTTTTTTTCTAGGGTCGGTCGGGAAACTAACTATATACTAAACAGACAAGAAAACACACAGCACAACATCAAATTTTAATAAGTAATAAAGTTCTGACCATTCAAAGACATCTACACTATATATTTTTAAATGTCATTTACAATAAAAAAACAATGTTGATCTCAAAAAAAAAATATTACAGCTGCCAACAAAGTACCTTAAAGGCCACACCAATCTAATTTGTTGGTTTCAAAAATATATGTTGAACTGGAAGTGCATAATCAAATCACAATCACAACAAAGCCTGAGGAACAGGTCTATGCCTTGGTGCACTTGGACGGAAGGCTTCTTCCCTACCTGCTTTTGTGATGTCTGCTTGCTATATTTTTTTTTTTATATAATTCAAATTTCCAAGAACCAAGGATATAGATTGGCATGGCCTAAAGCTCCTGATGTTGGCTCTACCAACACCACGTGTCTCCCACGGCACTTCCACTTGCCTGGTGAGAGAAAGTGTGTTTGTATAACTGATTAAAGAAGTGGCCGTTGTTGTCCCCTCCACCGAAGATGAGGATAGCCTGTTTGTGGTTGTCCTGGTTTTCCTTCTCCTGTTCACTCCTGGACAGAGCCAGACCCTGATGTCCACAGCATGGACTTACAGGTACAGGATCTGCCAGGGCACTCCAGCTACAGGTGTCTACAGAAACATACCGTATAGGCAGGTATGAAACTAGAAACGTATCATTTGCAAAGCAAATTCACAATGTTTACCTTCACATGGGGACGGTCCAGCCTAACAAACTACAGCTCTGTTTATTCTTATTTAAACACAATTATGTATTGAGAGACCAGCCCCTCTAACTCCACTTGCTACATAATGTAATCCAACACCACAGGGTGTCTGTTACTGCCATTGAGAGCAGTCGTTCAAAACACATCACTTAACCAAACTTATTCTACATATACTAAATTCCTTCTTTAAAAGACATTTAAATAAGGTGAAAGACAAACATACCGAAATAAAAACATAATTATACCGCAGATAGAAACATTTACCCGTATGACGTGAATCTTTACAAATGCCTTTTTTCACTAAAAAGTACAGATATCTACTGATAGTTCAATGATTTTTCTAGCCTGCAGTACTGTTTTGTATCTAGAAAACCTTACCTAGTGAGAAGACGAAGGAATCCCCCATGACTTCATCCCCATCATAGCCTCCGTGGACAAGGAAACTGTTTCCATTCAGGGGAACTGCCGTGTGCCAGCTAGCAACAAACAAGAACGTTCTCAACAAGTGACAAAAGATAGCAGCTGGAGAAAGGCAAACAGTTACTAGTACTTCAAAGAGCCCAGTTCCATGGGACGGCAATCACTGAGCAACCAAAACTTGGATTCGTGAAAGTGACTAAACGGTGGAGACCAAGCCTCTAGTGTAGTGTAGTGTATTTAACCATTTCTGACAATTTTTAGAAAGTCAATACTAGCAAGATATTAAAGAGAGATGACTGGCAAAAACAAAATGGTGTCATACACTCTAACATAAATCTGACAAATCTTTACAACCCAACTGATGTACGACCTGATCACCTTTTTAATTTAGATGTTACAGGTACATCTACATGTATAACAATTATGTCTATTGGTGGTGATTTTTCCCATGTAACTATAGTATGTACACCACTCCTGAGGCTTACCTTCTTGGTGCTGGGGGCGTGCCAGTCACTTCAGGCTGGGTCCAGTCCATCAGGCCTGTATGAAGGCAAAGGTAGTCTCTTAGCTTTTTTGAGGAGTATGAAACTAGGAAAATTGTTCCCCTGCTGCTTACAAATGTTGTTTGCAACATAGCTCGTGGTAAAACCTTAATTTTCAGTACACCATGTATCATTTGATAATCTAAGTATTATGGTGATATTATCATATGATAATGTACAAAACACTGTTTACTCACACAGGTCCAGGATAGACACATCGTTGTAACAGACGGGTGCATCCCATCCTCCAAACACTACCAGCCTCTCTCCTAACAACACTGCAGAATGACTGTTGGGGGGAAGAGACATGATAGTCAGACATACCAGTAATTGTAAAATATCTGTATCTCTATAGCCAGTACATGTACATGTATAACCACCCATTCTACATAATAATCAGCTTAAAAAGCTTTGCAGGCACACTGCTCAGTGGCAGCTGGTTATATTACACTGAACGACCTGTCACACCTAACCTTTGCATATCTAATTGCAAGATGTCCCTCATTTACTAAAGAATGCAACTCAAGTCTTATTCTACTAGGGTGTGAAGACTTACCCAGACCGAGGTGTAGGACTGTCTCCCATGACCAGGGGCTTGTACCAGCTTTCAGTAGCTGTGGGGTCATCACACAAGGTTAGACGTGAGAACAATATATTACAGGATCTACATTCTGCTATAATAAGTCTATTCACATCATTCACATTCACTGAAGATAAATAACAAGGTTAAGATATTAAAGAAAGCGAATTAGACTTTGTTTATCTTATATGTATAATTATATTTACTGTAGACTAGACAGAATTGCTTATGGTTACCTGGGCTGTAGACAAAGACCTCATTGCTGCAGCCGTCAGGTTGAGGATCAGGGTTAGGGAACACACCCCCGAACACAAACAGCTCGTGTCTGTACAGGGTAGAACTGTGGTAGGATCGTGTGGGGGCATCACCTCGAGCCTGCAGGATCACAACTCAGCATGTCAGAGATTTGTACAAATAATGGTATTAAATAAACGTGTGTTATGCCGAAGGGTGGTTCTACGGGCTGCACAGATACAGATAATACATGTATGTTACAATGAACCATTTTTTAACGTGAAGTAACATTTGTAAATACATGATGAGCTAGAAGTAGTGGATCTATTTTTTGTAGCCTTAGAGGCAGCTCCACAACCACACACCATCCAATATACTAGTACATTGTAACTCTCCAGTTACAATACCAACTGTGTTTTGTGTCTTCAACTTCTCTAATGTTGGTAAAATTCACAATATCTTGCGCCATGGATGTTAGAAAAATTGCAGTACTAGAATTTTCTTTATAATTGACACAAGTATACACAAGAATTATGGATTGATACCTCTATAGATGACCACTGCCAGGTCTGTACATCCAAGACATGGACATCACTAAACCAGCGCTTGTTCTTGGATCCACCGAACACGTAGACACACTTGACCACAGGGTCGTAGGTGGCGGTATGGCCCATCCTGGCCTCGGGATTCGGGCCTGAGTAAGTGGTAGACTGTACTTCCCACTTCTGGGTAACTGTTTGTGGAAAAGGGTTATGTTTTAGGTAAGGATGATGACAACACAATGTGTAAGAAAACTTATGCCTGAGTCTTTGATATAATACACTAATGATGAATACAGTGACTACCAATAGAAGTCATAGATTTCAGACTTCAGGGATTGTCTTGGGTATCTGTAAATGTTTTGGAACTGTACTGTATGATCTGAGGGAAATACCTGATTACATCACATAATGGATTGCATGAAATAATACATGTATGATGAAAACAAGAGTAATCTTTCAAAAAAAGTCTCCTTCAACTGCTGTGGCAGACGGTTCACCTGTATCCAGCTGCCAGATGGAGTCTTTACTCAGCTGACGTCCCTTTCCCTGTCCACCAATCAGCAGGGCTCTGTGGTCATCCAGCGGACACAGGCTGTGGCCCCAGCGTGCACTGGGAGTGTCTGAAGACAACAGTGGAGGAAATTAAGAACACTCAACATAGCTTGTCTTCAACATCTTTTGCAACATAACACAGTTCACAATGCTATTACGATTGGATACTTACCACATAATTTTTGTCAAAAACTTTGAGAGTCTATCGTTGAAGAGATTCATTTGTCACGTATAGATACAGTTCCTAGTGAATGCAAGTCTCGGGCCTAGTCTCGCGCTCTCGCGAGATTAGGCCACTCCGTGAACAAGATGGACTGATAGCCATCGAAAATTTGGAGGTTAGTATCCTTATCCTTCCAAAGTTGTCACTGATGAAAGAATTTGAGAGTCTAATCTTTTCTTTGCTCTAAAATGCATTCCCTACTATAAACAAAGACATACATGTACAATGTACAATGTACTAGTATTCTTCTCATTCTTTACAATACTCATTCTTAACGATATTCTTTACTGTCCAACGTATTAATTGCAAGCAAGACCTAACATTTAGTACCCAATATGTTTATCAATGTCTGGTAGTAACTTAAACTGATAGCAAACGATTCAAACAAACATTACAGAGCATACCTGTATCTTCAGCGTCTGACTCTACTTTCTTGCTGCCTTTCTTCGATCGTGATGCGTTGGGAGTTTTCTTCTTGTCGACAGTGGATGACTTGAGCTGTTCCTTCAGGGTCCGTGACTTTGCGGAGGTTCTTCGTCTCTTTGGTGTGGGTTCCTGGGTGTTTGTTAGCGTGATGTCCTCTGCATCCCAAGGTGGCGTGTACTCGTTCTGGAGGCAGGGAAGTAAATCGTGCAAATTTATTATCATTTCATTATTTTTGTTCACAACTTTTGATGTACACAAAGATGTCATCCATATAATCAATTCAGTATGACCTAATATAATGTACTATTCAAAACCTGACTATTATCATGCCTGGGTAATGTGCTCTAGTACAGTCATATGACCACAGCCATGTATATTATCCTTTACATACCTGTATCTCTGCAACCCCAGTTGACTTTACCAAGTTTTCCTTTTCTGTAACTTCAGGTGAGTCGATGGGTGTATCGGGCAGGCGGTGTGACGAGACCACTGGTCTCCCCTCAGGTGACCCACATGATCCAGACCCTCCACTGGTCACCTGTCAGGACAGTAGAAACTCAGCATCATGGTCAGGCCAGGTTTCATATTCATTTTTGGGAATAGGTGCACTGGTGCACAAAAAATATTTTGGGTGCACCATCAAGGAGAATGTCAGCAAAAATTATGCTTTATTTCTTAAAGAAAAGTGCTACAAGTATAACGCTGATTTTATTATCTTTCTGACATTTAGTCATTAATAATATGCTGTATACTTACCGTTTATGCTTACTATACATCTAACATCTTCACGTATGTAAACCTACGAAAATATTTGGGTGCACCCAATGTTTCGAGCCCTGTTATCTAACCTTCAGCGTTGCTGTTCCTCCCTGCCTCTCCATGGCAATACTTCTCCTCAGGAAGTCATCTCTCCACTCACCCTGCCAGCAGAGGGACCTACCACACAAACACATTTATATCAAAAACATCAAAAATTTACAGTTACATGTACTGTACAAAAATTTACCTCATTTGAAAGCTACATTTGTATCTTTATCATAAGTGAATGCATACAAAGATATCAGGGGCATTATTTAGTCATACCTTGAACTTGGTTGCAGAAATATAATGCTGGTAGCCTGGTACAATTTAAGTCGCTAAAAATCTCATTAATTTATATATTGTGGGCAACCCTGGTTAGGAGGCTATCTCAGGTTTATCCGATGCTGCCATTTTACTGCAGTTATCTCAACTTCAATTTAAAAACATGAGAATAATTACTTACAGGTACAAAGGTGCAGCTTTTAGCGAGTTTGTGTGTGCATGTGTACATATGTTTGCTTGTGTGTCTGTCAGTGTTTCAATGCAGTACTTACGTAGACTGTCAGAAAGGGAGGGGGAGGTTTCATAACCACAGACTGAAGGAAGGTTATTCACCTGTGTTTATCTGTAAGTGTGCCCAGTCTCTGCCATGTTTCTCCCTCGTCCAGGGTCAGCTCAACAGTCAGCGACTTTCCCAGCGTCCTTTGCTCCCACTTGCCGATACCGAAGACCACCACCTGGTGTGGGAGGGGCAGCGGCAACTGGTGGTTGTAGACAATTCCTTCTGGTGTCCTGGAGAAATAAGTGGCCCGAAATAAGTCAAACTTGTAGTTTCCATGATTCACAAACTTGTAGTTTCCATGATGTGTAGCCTGACAACTATGACCTCAATATTCTTTTACCTTGAAGTTGTAATGCATTGCCAGGATCACTCCCCACACACACACACACACACAAATTACGCAGAAATAAGATCCTTGGAACTGGTTCACATATTAATGTAATAATATTGATGATAACAACTACACCCTACCCCCATGCATTTTTCTTTCTTTGCACATATAACATGCACAACTATATGATGCATAATTGGTGTAGAAAAGTACACCCAGCACCCCTTGTCCCTTCAACTCTTCAGCCAACCAACATGACATCATTGACTGGTGCATAAAATGGCCCCCTTGCAAGCACTAGTACTACCATGTAGGCAGGACCTCTCTATAAAAATGTCTCCTATCTATTTACAATAGTATAAAACATTACCATACAATCACTAAAATTACATTTATGAAGAACTTTTTAAAATATTTTCCATGATCAGAGGTCTTTGCAGGAATCAAATGTGTCAATGTTGTCTCCATCTTTTCGATGAATTTGCAAAAATCCTGGCCTGCAAAAGCAACACCCACCTGCGAAAGAATAGTGGTTTCGGTGGTTCATCCACCGAAAATACAGCATACAGACACAGTCTGTCCATAACTCTATACGGCCAACGTTTCCTTGTAACTTCTTACGCCACGAATATGAATGTGAAACTGCAGGAAATGTGGAATAACTTGCAAGATGTATCAAACGATGTCATGTAGCAAAAAAAGGCGGTCTCAAAAATGGCGGGTCAGATTAGTCACGTGACTAAAATAAACCAATGAGACGCACGGATAGCTTCGAAGAATCCACTATTGCTGACCTCGATGGGTGTTTTTTGTGACGTTAAAAATTCAGTCGATCAAAAAATAAAGATAGAATGTAAAATATTATAATAGTTATTAAAGTTTCTTAATATAAATATTTACATACTCTATATATGTTAATAAATTGCTTTGTCGACCTTTATACTACATTGTACCATTTTATTTTCACTTTGTTTCGCAGTGGACTGTTCCAGTCATGTATATATTTATCATTTCGCTGTAACGTCAGCTGTGACCGGTACATGAGGTAACATTTTCTGCGTTTTTTCACGACCCACGCGGCCACGGAGGACAGAACTCTGCGACAAAAATGCCGGTCAATATAAAAATCATCTACTGGTAAGCTAGAGTGCTGTTCATGTTTTACAATTATTCGGTATCAACAACAGAAATATTTAACGTTATACTCCAGAAAATTATGTTTGTGTTCATGTTCATGTAAATTGCCTTTTGATACCTACTAGTATGCATCTAGCAGACCTCGCACATTCCTATGATTTTATGGTTCGTCTCACTATATAGTCATATTGATATCAATATGTTTGTTTTTTCTCAGTCCAGGAGCCATAATAGCTCCCGGATGCTATGACTCAGCTGAATTTGACCATTATAAACAACAACATGGAGTAGATCTATACAAATGTAATTAAAGTTATACGAGTCACCAGTACTAGTAGAAGCAGATGATTTGACTTCTCACAGGGACAGACAGATGTTATGATAATTTTATCGCGTTCAATGCGTAACATCGTGCTATAATCTGTTGGAGTGGAATGCTGTTACAAAACCGCCATGGCCAGTGGGTAACTGGGTCAATCGGTCCAGGTGTCATGGTATGTAAAAAGCCTGTGTATGGTTATGGTAAGATGCATGGCCCCATTTGTCTATTGTGTACTAGCAAGGAACTATCAATGCCATAGAAGTCCCTTTTCTCTCTCAATCCCACATGCACTCCTGAATTGACACCTGTATTCAACATTATTGTACTTACATATGTTGTCTAATTCACATGTTGTCTAATTCAGGTAAATTCAGGTTGTCTAATTCAGGTAAATAATTTGTCTGGTCAGTCCAGTCAACACACCCCCAAGGCACATTGTCTTGGCTGCCATGTTGTAACTAAAATCATGCATTGTATTGAAATAAGCAAGTAAAAATGATGGACATTGAATATTTGTTCTTCTGTTAACAGAGGGGGATGAGGATACGCCCCCAAGGTATGTACCAGTACCTTTAATACTTTGTATAAAAATAGCCCAATATCATGAAAGGAATTGCATTGATAGAAATTGTTTTGTGGTTTATATTGATACAATGTCAGGTATTCTTCGATAATATTGTATCTTCCCTTTTTTTCAGTTCCGTAAAATCAAGACGGAGCTTGAGGATATCTTCCAGGATGACGTTAAGATAGTATGTATCATTATTCCAGTCAACTATAAGTCTGAACTTCATTCTTAAAGCTATATTATGTAGAATTTTAACTATTTTAAACATCTTTATTTTAAACATTTTCTTGCTCTGTAAGCCTACCTGGGTTCATAATGACATTTAGGGATCAAAAGATAAACGTCGTTACGCCGCAAAAACGTGTTGGAAAACTGCGCACTTCTCGGCGCTAGCACGGATCGCGGCCATGTTTGTTTACACCCGACCGCGTCCGAGCATTTCCGAATCCAGCCGAACCGCAGGTCACCGTAGAACACGTTATTCTCTAAAATACGGCATATGCCAGGTCACGATTTGACAACTGTCAATAGTGCAACAAAAACACCTTAGACATACGTAACGTTTATACTTTTTCATATCTACAGGATTTGCCTAGTACAACAATGTAGATATTTCGTGCATTACAAAATGACACCGGTCGTTATAGCCTTCCAAACATTAGCATTTTTGGTCAGTTTATCTGTGCTTATCTTTTTTTACTGGCCAACTGGATCCCATTAGCTAATACCACAGTGTGATAGCCCACATCTTCACCTTTACATCGATACCAAAGTCCCCTGGTTAGTTTTAGGACAAACGGGTTTGCCCCAAAGAAAACCGCGACGGTGCACACATCGCGGTGACGAAATTTTAGCCCAGTTGTAGCTACCGGCGCACACCATTCTGAGTTTCCGCAACATTTTGATACATTTAGCGTAATGTCATAAACTTCGTTCCTTGGTATGAGAAACTGTATGAATGTGGTTACCACATGCAATATGATAAGTGACATGATAACTTTCAAGTATATACAAAAAGAGGATTTTAGATTAGGTACTGACCCTTCAAAAATTGGCAAATTTGAAGTCAATCGGCTTCGAACTCCAGCGTTCGAAAGTGTTCGAACCATGGAACCCAGACACGCGCCGGAAGTTGCCGAAGATTTCCGAACGAAAACCGTTGTTTGTTTACATTCTATTTATTGTGGCACAAATAAATACGTCTGGCCTTGCGCACCTTATTCTCGCGCTGTGCTGAGTTGCCGAAAAGGCGAAATAGCGACGCTAATATGTTGAAAGTTATCGAAAATGACAATCTAGATGAGAAAATTTCAATTATTTGTATTTTCAGTTTTGGCGCGAAAATCCTACATAATATCACTTTAAGTTGCATTGTGTGAATTTTAATTTTCAAAAATCAAGTGGCATAGTTGGACAGAGGACCTCAGAGGCTCTGTTGTAGCCTGGGTACCATCTTAGTTAGTTTTTGTCCACTCCCACAGTCACTACGGACCAACCAGACTGCTAGCAACTTCAGTCTACTAGTGACTGTTGAATGGTACCATATGGTCTTCTGTCTATAGGCCTGTGTTTATCTTCTGTCCCTGTAGGTAGGTGAGGGCACCCCTACCATCACTGGGTGGTTGGAGGTACAGGTTGTCGGTGGTCCGCTGCTGCACTCCAAGAAGGTACGTGTGTCAAGAATGTTTAACTTTTCCACCTTGGCTGTATTAAAATGAAAATCCCAAACACTTAACATAACTGTTAGTAACAGTAAGTTCTGGAACATTTATTTGAACAGTACTTGTGTTGAATCCCGAATCACTAGCTGAAGCTTTTTATATTATTTTTCATTTTCTTCGACCTGAAGTCACTCAAGGTCATAGGCTACATCATAACAGTGTAACAGCATCTCTTCTCCATAAAACAGAAACATCAATGGTTGAGACAAGTTTGACTCACTGAGCAGGAGGACTAACTGACCCAATAGAAGAAGCAGGGATTATGAAGGCAGCTCAGGAATATTCCTACCCCATGAGCTAAAGTTCAGTAAGAAATCTTGTTTTGTTGTTCGTTACATTTGGCACTTTTTGTCCCAACAGAACGGAGATGGATATGTGGACAGCAAGCAGAAGATGGACCGTATTGTCCAGGGGATCGAGGCTGAGCTGAAGAAATAAAGGTGGACATTCTGCCTCTGCTGCTGATCCCCACCCCAGAAAGGTACCTGCCAACTACATTTGTACATCAAAGCTGTATTTTCTTACCTTCTTAAAGAAGAAATTTCTAATAAAAACATGGACAAATTGTCGTTCCAGAAGGAGAAATAATGTCAACCTAGCTATGATAGCTCTAAAACTTAAGTAACAAACCTAGGAGTGTTAGTTATAGAGTTCGAACTTGTTCCAACACAAAGAAGAAACTCACCATAAATTTTTGGCTGATCCCATCAACCTTCATCAGATGTGTGATGTGTCATTCGAATAGTAGGAGTGTTACATTGGATCATTCTTTTCTATTGTCATGACATGAGTTTGTTTTCCAAATTAGAACAAAACTGAAGCATTGTTTCTGGTGGTGCTAATTTATGCTAGGTTTGTATGTTTGGGTTCCAAAGTGGGAGGGCAGAGATTGGGCTTCTTTTGATTGACAGGGGTTTGACCCAGTATGCTGTAGGTTCAATATTACCTGGGTCTCCAAGTACCGGTATGTATGAATCATGATGTAGTAACAAAAGTGCAACCATGATGGCATAATAGAGTAATCATGCATTCTATGATGTAAGTTGTTAACTCTTAAGTTCTACAATGTTGGTGTTGAAGTTTGAAATCTGTGATTTCTTGTTGTACCCTGTTCCGCAGGTGTCCGTTGACTTGTTCATGTGTGGTGAGTCCTGCCGATGACGGGGCGGCCTGAAACGGAACCCTCCAGGGGCCTGCTCCTGACCAACCTCAGGAACACCACCCTGACCAAGTCCACTCCACACCTCTCTGGGTTTTATTGTACTCCTGATGGTAGCAATTTTCTCTCCAAGTGACTTCTCTGGGATATGTAGTGTACTAGTATAATGTTTTACCACTGAAGCTCTGCTCTTTTGCAGTTCTGTGTGCCTATATTTAATACTTTCACTGCGTGGGATTTGAAAATTAGTTTAGTAGGGTGACATACCCAAAAATTTTACTGTCGGTGACGTAAGGTGTCAATAGTATTACCAAGAACTGTGTAGATGTAGTGGGTCCAAAAGTTGTGATTGTAGCTACCTCCACAACGCTGTTGGTACTTAAAGGTTATTTAACTTATTCCTAAGACAAACTCACACAGATGCATTGAGATGTTAAAAAGTACGGGTAGAGGAGAATATGTTGTTATCATCTTTATGTGTGGCAAGCATGTACAAATCAAACATCCTCAATATCATTCTCGATATACAGACTTCAAGTCAGTGCAAAGTATGGACACAGATTGATACTACGTCTAATAATGTACCATTTCTGTGTAGGTGTAAATTGTACCAGCTTTGTCCGTACTTGATGTGTAGAGTTGAGTGTAAGCACTATTGTACAATCTTGCTGTTGGACACAATTGTGTGAGTTTCCATTCAAACACGTCTTCCACCTAAAGTAACTTCTACAATGCCTTTGTACTGTTCATATCACACGTGTACGTGATTTTTCACAGTTCTCAGGTGTTGCGATACATGTATTACCATATATCTTTGAGGATGTAATCTGTAATGATTCTTCTTTATTTCAAACTATAGCAGTGAGGAAAATTTCAATCTGTCACTATACAACTGAAGATAAACCTGCCAGCAGGAACATGTGTGCACACTGCCCAGTGTTTGATGTCTGCTTATTCTTTTGATGGCAAACGGATTTACATTTCAATCATTTTCTACAGAGGACAAGCCAGGTGCATCAACTGAAAAGGGCAGTTGTTCTTAAGGAACTGTTTACTCAGTTTCTCCAAGGTCCTTATCAAACCAGAGACTTGAAAGCCCTCCATTAACAAGTGGGATGAAACAGCTGGGGTGATGGGTACTGTAGATGTACAAACGTTTGCCACACTTAAATTTTGCGTCAGGTGTAAATCAAATGTTAGTAGATATCTAGATAGTGGGTTCATGGTTGAAACAACTATACCGGTAGTAACATATTGAAAGACAGAGTGTAGCTTGGCTTTGTGGTGCATTTGCAGTGAGGGGTCCCAGTGAAAAACACAAAGTTAAGAACACCATGAAAATTCTTAATATTTTACAGTATTGCCCTTTAATGTACTACAGTCATCTATCACGTAAGATGATATGATGGCCTGATTTTGATGCATATTTAATAATCAAAAGTAAAGGTGAAGGTAGTCCTATAGCCTTTGTCAGGCCAAAGGGGCAGTGGGTTGTTAGTCCACCGTGTCTAGGGCATGGTGTTAGCCGAAGGCAGAGCCCATCCCTTTCCTTCCACCACCTTTTACCTCCCCAACTAAAGTCAGGCACCCATTTTACACCTGGTTGGAGTGAGGAAAATCCTATGAAGTGGCCTTGGGTAAAGTGCCTTTCCCAAGGACACAACATCCAGTCAGGAAAACCAGTGCTCAAACCCACGACCTCTTGATCTCGTGTCCACTAACCTAGCCACGTGGCCATTTGGTGCCACATTTCATTCTTGGCCAATTGCGGCCTTCGAACTGTTTGATCCCACCTGCCAGATTGAATCCCATGAGATTGTGTGTCGTACCTTCAAACACTATGACGTTTGTGTTTGTAACAGACCACCAGCTCCTGATTATACAACCACACCAGCCTTAGCCAGCCTGGACTTACGTACTTATATATAGCTTCACCTTTTCCCACACACACTCAAGGTTGACTGCAAAAGGAGCGCAACTACATGAACAAGAGGGTTTTTGGAATATAGGTTTATGTCATTAATGTCATAATGATTATAATTTTGAATGCCCAGTAGCAAAGTTGCGATTGGATCTAAAAAATAAAATATAAGAATGAATAGCAGCCATGGTTCAGCAGCATACTCTGTATATGGTGCAATGTTTTCTGTTCAAGTGTTAGTTTAGGGTTTATATTGAATTAACACTGGAACAGAAAACATTTCAGCAGGGAGGTGTCCGAAATTCGTAAATACACCGGGTGCCTAGTTGATCTTGGCGGTGGAGAACTTCTACAGCCCCGAAGACAGCCCGCCCAGACGACGATACACTGGACACCAGTTATGCTATGGACCGCCAAGTGTCCATGTTCGGTGAATCGTTTACCTTCAAGTGATGCAAATTGAAGGCCTGTGAATGGAAACATGATCACCGAAACTTCAGTACCAAGGCCAGGGCAAAGCTAGCGCTGGCAAAATCATGTGGTGGGTTTAAATTTCAAAGTACGTTATACCGTTACAGATAGTCCAAACATTGCACGCAGAATGACATGACTGGAGTTGTCATATCCTGTGTACATCCCCAGCATGTTGCCGTAAGCACTGGGCCGGTTTTTCGCTGCAAACATAACAGCATTCTCCAAAATCGTTGTTACCAAGGAGGTTAAAAACGCATGCATGAACTTCGATTAAGCCGAGAAAAATAAGCAAAATTTTAGTTGAAGCGATGTAATTATAAGATGTTGAGTGTGACTTTTGATCTGTTAAAGGCTGGTGTCAACTCCTAATCTCCAAGCAGATCCCACGGTGGCGTGCGCAAGGCAGAAAGCATTAGCCACCGAAGATGATGGAAGATGAAAGCATTAGCCACCGTAGGATCTGCTTGGAGATTAGATCGGCAGATCCTTAAAGGTCATTTTCTGCTTAAGTAAATACCAGTACATTGTACTTCCTAAACATGCAGCTGATATTTACACTATCCCCATGGAATGATGGCCGATGATACAGATGGTGACATTTATATATAGTTTATGCCAAAGCAAAGCACACAGTGGAATAGCCCCCTTCTGTAGTTCTTGCACAACGGTGTGGCCCGAGGGTTAAAAAATGGAGATGGACACCGCACTAACTTTTACCATTTTAATATAAATCACAACCAATTATAAGAGCAAACTAGCAATGATCATCTAACAGGCCAGAATATGATGATTGTGATACAACTTGGTGAAAAATTATGCAAAGGAAGGTCAACAATATGTATAATTGTATATGTACGCGTTATTATAATTTTTATCATTACTATCATATACTGACTGGCATAAGTAATTCGTACAACCATGTAAATATAAAGTAATTGATACCATAGAGAAATATCTAGTACATGTATCACAATTACAGATCACAACAGAGCATGGTCTTAAAGAAAACAACGAAACATGCATGTCGTGGAAGCGAATTACGCTATAAAATGCATATATAAATCATAATGACATTTGCGACGGCGGAAGCAATCAAGCATGGCGGGGAGTCAGGAACACTTACGTCAAGCGTGGAGGTGAAATCACGCCAGCACGGCTAGGACTGCTCTCTCAGAATAACGTAACCCTCTCAGATCGGTATCCTGTCGAGACTCATAATATCCATCAGTTTTGCCGCGAGGAGCTAGATTCAATTTGTGACTGGCTGATATTATGATATTACCTGATGCAAAACAGTTGAGTTGGTTGACTCACATTGACGAACATATACAATTCTCAGTGACAAACATACAAGTGTTTTACTACAAACTGCAACATTACATTTACTACAAACCGTAATTCAACTTTAGAAATCGAATATGTTATCAAAACTGCAGTACATATACCAGGACAGTGCATCTGATGCACCTGTGCGTCTTTAGAAGGCTGTTTCATTTGTAGAGTCGTCTACCTCCCACTCTCTCTCGACCAACTTCACCTCCAATCCTTCTCTGGTGCTCCCGATGCTAATCACTGACGATCTCTTTCTTCTCAGGACCGGCTTTTGGTGTGACGAGCGGTTTTGTGCCTCGATCGTCGGAAGTCTTTTCCCCCGGCTGTTGGAGCCCTTATCCAGGGCGTACTTCAGCGGTTCTCCGGTGGTGTGGCGCCGTTCTTCTTTTGCCTTGTTGTTGCGTGCGCCGCCGACTGACGTTCCCGCCACGGTTCTCCTCCGGTTGTCGCCCGAAAACGTGTTCGACCAGACGAAGTTCAGACTGGGGGCGCCGGCGCCGAGCCTGATGAACGGCGTCCCCGGCTGGTACCCGTACGGCAGCATGGTAGACGCCCGTGCAGCTGTCCCCGGATCCTTGTCTTCCATGGGTGGTCGGTTCTCCTTCTGCTGTTCGTGCGTTACCTTCTTGCGTTTTCTGACACCAGCAGACCGACTGGTAGAAGGACTGTCTGCTGCTACGGTGGTGGTGACTTCGGTAGGGCCAGCTGCGCTTGCCTCGAGCTCGCCGGAGGTTTCGGAGTTGGCGGTACCTGGAATGATGGCGATCCTGGGCACCAAGAGCTGGTGGTTCTCGCAGGGGGCCACTTCGTTCCTGTGGCTCATGGCCAACCCCATGATTCACCACACGACTCCTCCGTGCACCTGCAGCGCTGTAAACCAAACCTTCTCACGACTCCGCCCAGCTTCTCCGCGGTCTGCTGTGAAACTAATACGCGCCGTAGGGCAGCCAGGCGTGCCCTAATCAATGATAATGGTACTCCTGGCCACATGACTGCCGAACATCTCAGGCTATTATTAAACACTAAAGGCGTGACTGCGGTGACGTCCAGTGAAACAGCATGTTTTCTCGCCGACCGTCTGATCGAATAATCTGAGCTAGACCGGGATATCTACAGGGCAGAGTGCTTGACTACATGCGTGGCGGCAGCGGCAATCCTTGATACACGTACAAGGATGACCCGATGTATCTGTCAGTGTCCTTGAAATCGCCTATAGTGTACGCGCTTCCTAATAACCAGTACATACCGTGTCATCTCGAATCAAAATCATACTGATTCAGTTTGACGGTACGTACTAGTGTGATCATTATGTTTACCTTTGCAGAAGGATAAGTCTGCTTACTTCGCAGAAAGAAAACATATTGCTTTTACTCCAAACACATAATATGTAGGCCATGTAGAGGTTAACATTATGCATTTGCTTTGCGGCGCTTATATAAGTTTTATAAGCTTGAGTGCGTCGCCATCGCTGTTTTGCAATGAGCGAGAAATAAGTTACCTCTCTAATCATACATCTTTCTCATCTAGTGGGCGATGAGAGATAGACCAGAGTCGTGACTTTTGAGAATACACCATCATCTTACGCATGAGAGTACCAACTTTAGATCTGTGTAAAACCCTTAAACCTAGCTATGTATATATATAGTCTGCACTGCGTGGGCAAAATAGACCTCGAGAAGAAAAGAGACAATTACATGTACAGGAAATGATTTGGTTTATACCACACTCGTGTTGTTCTAATTTTAGACTAACATGAACGGCTTGTGGCGGCATTACCATCATCCCTCCCACGGCTTTCCGGGCAGCTCTAGTCCTCGTTGAAAATATCACGCAGGATTACGGGCTTTGTTTCCCATTTTAGAGAAAGCTTTCCCGTTAAGTCAGGCTAAGCGGCACCATTAAGAATCTAAAAAAAGGGGGGCTACAAACATGAAACTTAAAGATCACGGTTATTACGCCTCTGCACATCGGCTGAGCGCTCACTTTCTGTAATGGAATCAAGCAAAGTCGGAAGAAAATGGCGTTTTTTAATACAGACAGCTACAACTTTCTTCCCATAGCATTTGATCAGTTGAAAAAAGATGAAACATACGAAACAAAGACGGAATAAAGAAAACCATGGCCATCAAATCTTCCTCGGTCACGTGCATCTTACACGTGAAGTCTTTAAGTATGTATGGAGTTCTATCTTATATAGCACTTCGCACCTGTAACATATAATGTTTGTAGATATAAAGAAAAACACTTTCCCAATTAAAACATGGATATGGTACACGTGAACACATTATTCAATATAACTGACTAATTACTGTGCAGTGTGCAAAAATCGGAGTTAATGCACGTCCACCACCTCTTCATAAATCCTAAAATCATAAAGGTGTACATGTGACAATTATATGGATCATAGGTTGCACTTAAACCATTACCACAAACATGCGTATGTGCACGCAGAGACTGGGGAAATGCATACAGACTGGCCAATTTGATACCCCCCCCCCCACCGAAAGATCTGCTTGGAGATTAGACAAATAATATGATAGATGATATAGGTGGTGCTTTTCCGGCGAGAACACAATCCCAAACGTGGCTAACATCGGCCGGAAATATTAATAGCGGCGAGATGCAGAACTCCAGTCAGAAGCTCCGAGGAAGGTGTCTGGTAGGCATCGAAACGTAAGGAGGTGAGATACAGTACGGGTTGTGTTAGAAGAAAATCCCTATATCCTGACCTCAGTTCAAACCTGTTGTACCTGTAGTATAAATCGACCGTCCATGATATATACTATTTGACGGTGGTGTCCTTGGTAGAAAGCAGATCGTTGTTTTTAGTTTCCGCACTGTTGACCGACCTGCATGTGGAGCTCCCTGTTAAAGTCGTACTCCTGATTCATGCAATGTTGCCAGCTGAAGTTATGATAAAGTGGAGGATTGACGAAGTCTCCCGGGTAGTAGTGGTACAGGATACTGTTGTTGTTGGCGTCTTGTGTGAAAGGGTAGAATCCGTAGATGTAGAGGTAGTCACAGATCGTCGTCATCATCACCACACTCACCAGACCAATGGAAGGTACCCCCGTCATTCTCTTGTTCACTATTTTAGATGCAGTCCTGAAAACAAACAGGAAATTAAGGAAAGAAAATACTAGCAGGTCATCCGCCTCCGTTACTATCGACAAGATGAAATTGAAAATCATACCCGGGACAAATCTCTAATGCTAACGGTCAGGGCATGTTGATTTTATAATTTGGATGACACCCTCTGAGAACCCCAAAACTGATGCGAGCGTGCATCAAATGACAAAACACACAAAGTATGGCCCTAATGGTGAATAATAGACTCTTCAATTTCATTTCTTTACATTTCCTTACGACGTTTGGAATAGATTTTGGCATTTGACATTAGTATCGTTTTCTGATTTTTTTTTTTTTGCTATTCACGGCATATATTTGCTCATTTTGCAGTTGGTTTCTACGATTTACAGTATGGTCGAAAACGTTTAATTGTCATTAGTCGTTGAAAAGTTGAAAAGTTCGGACAGTCATTCAAGCGAATATCGATATCCCAGAATATTACAGACTCCGATCGAGATCTCTGCCGATCTCTCCTTCAGGATCTCTACCGATAGAATCTCCAGTTCAACTCACTTTCTTATTCCATCCCTCCCCGAGCGAGATATGAGTGGAAAACGACATTTTATAAGTCTCCACCGCGATCCTGAGATCATTCGCCGCTCTTTTGTCTGCAACCAGGATGGCACCTTCCACAGCCCTGAAGCGACTCTCGTACACATCCTGTTCTTGAACTGCGACGACTGTCGGATGCGGTCTGGCCCCTTCATGTTGAATATCACCATACTGGTCCGTCTGCCGACGTCTCTTTCGTAGCCTCTGATGACCGGCAAGTCTATGCGTATGACGTAATCCATGGAGTCGATCTCTGCTCCACACTGACTTTTGAGAAGAACGCCGCTGTTGCCTATGACAGCGCACGTGTTGTAGTGACCGATGTTTACATCCTCGATCCGTGTAGTTCCCCAACTTCCACTCATGCATGCCTCGCGTCAGTTTCATTTTCTGGAAGACAAATTCGGTGTTGGCGTCAAAATGTTGTATTGCTGTGTAGCGCTTGCCTCCTGTGCAGACTTTACGGGCCCGTGCGTTTGTTTCTATGGGCATGGCGGTTAACGTTCCCCTTTTGCTGGTTGAGATGGCCGTACTAGTATTGGGGAAATTAGGGGATACAGGCCGCTTTTTCGTCGCGCCTATATACATGTATGTGCCTACAAGGACGTTCCCAATCCTTACACAGAGTTACGTACGTGTTTACAAGTATCTCCTTAGTCTCAGGACATTTAAACAGGTCATTAAAAACAGGACTTGATTTAGTTGATGGTTGAGTATATTGTATTTTATTAATTGTTTATGTACTGTGTATTTGTTGTGTGTATTTTTTATGTGTATCATATCCAGGATTACCTGAAAAGCAGGCCGTTGAAAATGGCCTGAGCTGTAATCACTGGTAAAACAAATAAACTGAAACTGAATGATACAGTCAACTCCAGCAATTGATGTTCAACAATTCATACTGATAGAAACCTCAAACAATATTTGTGCCAATATTGTTACCTTGTCGTATCGTCGCCATATATGCATATGCCATATTATGATGTAAACTCCTGTCAGCAACGTTGCACAAAGGATATACCTCCTCAGCGGTTTCGTTATTCCACACACATTCCTTATTTGGGGTTGTTCCCACCATAGCTACGTAGTGCTTGCATTCACTCGAATGCTCGTATGGAATACTTATTCTAAATGACCGACATGGGAGGATACAGGTCGCGATCTACTTTAATATCTGATCTGGATCCGTACCGTGCATTCTTTCAAAACTTTGGCGGTTAGACTGGTTTGTTTTTTTACAGTAGATATGTATCGGCCTAGCAATGTCAAAGGAAGAATTTGGATGCAACTCAAAAACGAATTCTGGCGTCATTTTCAAACGAAAGACCGAGATTGTACAGGTAACAGGTAACGTTATGTTATTTTTATTTGTGACTGGTACATCTACACCGGACCACAGTCACCGCACCAGTCTAATACAATACCATGGTACCAGTGCCGGTCTGTTGCAGAGTCATGATCAGTCGGACGCCTACTGTACGGTATGCGGCATGCATGAGCTGGCATGCATCGTCAAGTGCAGAACTAATCTGTGAAAGATAAACTAAGTAACCAACACTTTAACCCAAAAGAGTTCAGGCGCTGAATTATTTTTCATCATCTTCCATGTAAGAACCGCCCAGAAATCCCTAGCCAATATCCTGACAAGAGGCGGCATCATCCATGCAGTTTAGATTTGTACCGCTGGATGGCGTAGTTCGCTAGGAATTGTGGGATTGTTTCCAAAAATAGCACCACAACAGTTTCTCCGAGTCCGCCATTTTTCGCGAGTGGTTGTGTGTAGCAGACAGGTAAGGCGATACTCACAAATTCTCGTTTTGTGAGCAAAGAATCCACCCAAATCCCAAAATATCTGCATAAGTAACAGTCTAGGGTTTTTATTTCGTTCCATAATGAACTTTTATTATCTGGGAGGAATCTTTGTGCCTATTTTTTAGTCGGCAACATCCTTCTTCGTCGCTCGCCTCGCGTCCCGTCGATTTTTCCTGCCATTTTCCAAAATTTCGTGGGAAGCGACACATTCCACGTTTGGAATATCACCAGTCTTTGGGCAATTTTCCCCCATCCTTGCCAAAACCTGAACCACAAACGTTGCTCGTGTGGTCCCAGCCATGTTCCAAATGTTTTAAAACGGTTTCTAGAGAGTTTTCAGTATTTTATCTTGTGTGTAAAACGTTCCGTTTGTGAGTGTGTGTATTTTGTAGCGTCTGGCCGCCCGCCTTTTGTGTTACCCCATTATTTATCGATCGCGCGTCACGTAACCACGCATGTCAAAACTAACAGTATAGGCGCGCGGGCCTTTCAAAGTACGAGAAAAACTTGGCGCCTTTTTTTTTTACCTCAAAAGATGGGAAAAGGTTGTGGTTATGATATGAATCGATTTTTTCGCTCTTTTGGTAATTTGACGCAGATTATTCATGCAAAGAACCGTAATCTCCAAGCAGATTCGGTGGGGCAAGGGGACTTTATATATAATTTGGCCAGTCCTGTATCCATTGGCCGCCTGTATCCAACGTTCGCCCCACGTTGGATACAGGCGGCCAATGGATACAGGACTGGCCAATATAAAGTCCCCTTGCCCCACCGAATCTGCTTGGAGATTAAAGAACCGGTTTGTCTTGTAAAGTAAAACATGTGGTTATGTCATCGGGAAAGGCGAGGGCTGGGTCGCACCTGTTCATACAACTCAAAACATTTTTGCCAAAGAGAAATTAAGCTATTTCTAGCTATTTCTCTCTTTTTTTTAATTCTTGATGATATCTATGGATAGTCATTTACTGTGCCTGGAGTTTTTACATGGAATATAATCAACAGTACTGTACAAGAAGTCCGTCTGTCCGCTCCACCGCACTACTGTACTACAGCACAGTATTTTGAAGTGGAAGAAATTTTTTATAAAAAAAAAAATAATGAAGAAAATTTTTGCTAATTTCAATGCTCAAAATGTCTTATTTTACTACAGGACTACTTGGCTGATTTCTTTTTTTTTACACATGCACATGTAGTGTAAACCTGAATTTTTATAAATGTACCGTGTTATGTATTGGGGAATTATGGAGACATTGAAGATTGAAGCAAGACTGCAGTACTAAGAGGACTATGACTTATTAACAGACAATGTGTATGAAAATCATAATACATATGCTTGTAAGTAAAGCTCCCCGTTCTCCAACCACAGTATCAACTGAAGACCCTTCAGCATGGCTCGTACGAAGCAGACAGCCCGTAAGTCCACTGGTGGGAAGGCCCCCCGTAAGCAGCTGGCCACCAAGGCGGCCAGGAAGAGTGCTCCATCAACCGGGGGTGTGAAGAAGCCCCATCGTTACAGGTGTGAATCATTGCCTTGCTAAGTTGTTTGTAATGTTAGATTATGTGATGAAATACGGTTTTATACTGTGTTTAGGTTAGTTTTTGGCGACACCTCCGAGGCGGAGGCATTTTATGTATAGGCATTTGGCTAAGATGTAGGAATTCATCCTTATGTTTTGACAAGTTCGTATAGTTCTTTGATATAATGTTTTTATTTAATCTCCACTAGGCCCGGTACTGTGGCTCTTCGTGAAATCCGTCGGTACCAGAAGTCCACTGAGCTTCTCATCAGGAAACTGCCATTCCAGCGCTTGGTGCGTGAGATCGCCCAGGACTTCAAGACGGATTTGCGGTTCCAGAGTGCCGCCATCGGAGCACTGCAGGTCAGTAAAAAACCTTATCCATGCTACTGAAGGTACAATCAGATAATGTTGTGAAAATAGAGGTCCTTGATTTTCTTCCAGATTTTGTCTCTGTTATTTATGAAATGAAGCGAGGGGTAGAAATGTTGATTTCACTAAAACATCAGTGCTTTGTAAATTGAGAGGAACAGCATTTTCTATTGACAAGAGTTTTTCTTACCTTTTCTGAATATTTTCTGTTGAATTCTGCAGGAGGCCAGTGAAGCATACCTGGTGGGTCTGTTCGAGGACACCAACCTGTGTGCCATCCATGCCAAGCGTGTCACCATCATGCCCAAGGACATCCAGCTGGCCCGCCGTATCCGCGGCGAGCGTGCTTAGGCAGCGTGGCACCGCATCCCTCAGCTTTCCATGCTCTTATTCCAGTATACTGTATGTTAGGCAATAGTGTAAGCAACTAATGTGTGTATAAGTATGTTGCTATGTAGTCGAGTAGATGGCTTCACATGTGTCCCGTACTGATAGCTCGATCATGATGAACTGTGGGGAGATGAACTTGTTCTAGGGTTTTGCCTTTAGCATATAAAATCTTCATGTACGTGATCCTGAAGGCATCTGAATTTGAAAGGCAAGGTTGGAGTCATCTACCTGTACTGTACTTGTTATGATAGCCGTGCTCAATGACCAGTATTTTGTATGTGTGAGACGTAGTGGGTTTTTAGTCGTCTTTTTATCGGTATGGTTTCTCCCAGGAGAGGACATGGGGCTCTGTTGGTGAGTTAGGTGGTTTTCTTTTGCAAGTCCCATTTTCCAGCAAACAGCGACCAATAAGGGTGCACTTTAGCTGGGTTAGGCATGACCTGGTTCCTATGGGGTTACCTGATTGGCTGCCCAATGGAAACAGGTTCATGCCTCGTCCAGCAAAAGTTGAAGATTCCTCTACCTCAGCTGCAGACATCTTAGGACTATAGACTTTTTTGGTACTAACACAGTCATTGATGTGTAAAAGCATTATAAGTTTTTTGGTACTACTGATAATAACAAGTGTTGTAAACTGCATATCTTCCAAACGTTTTCTAGTGATATCTTACCTGTAGTAGATCTTTCTGGATACACAAGAAAAGTTTTATTTCTGTATTTCCCTTTATGTATCTCTACTTTATCCAATAAAAGTGGTTGGTATGGTTGTAGTACTCCTGTTGTGAAAGCTTTACTTAGTATTTGATGATACCCAACTATATAACTCAGAATGATACAGTCAAATGTTGATACAAGTTGATAACTGAAAGGTCTATGCTACAGAATGCAAAGATGCAGATGATCATGGTTAAACATAACTTTGACTTGATCCCATAGATGTACACATAACCAACAACCTAAAGACAATCTACATACAGTACTTTAATTGAACACTTCTGATTATATATATATATATATAAAGTAAAAGTATGTTACAAAGTTTAATCAAGTTACTCGGTTGATTGGAAGAATCTCAATTTGGCAGAACCGAGAAGGTTCAATCAATACCTTTGCATGTTGCCTGGTTATTTCAGTAAGTACAGAATATGACTATGGGAGCTCAGTGGAATAAGAATGACTGAATGCAGCTGAGACATAGAAGAGATTTAATATAGTAGAAGTGATAAAATATAACTGCTTTGCAGTGGTTAACAGGGATATATAAAAAAAATTCTTTGAAGGTCATTGGAATCATTCAGTCACATGAGACTGAACAACATGAGAGTAAGAATGATGAGGAAAGCAACTTCTTCCAAAATTTCTGACCTGGTAAAAGAGAAATACTGTGAATGGATACTAAGCTAGATAAAACACCCAAGATTTTATCAGTTTCACCCCCTCCATTGGCAACAATCCATGCCCCACAGAATTTACTTGGAGATTTATGTTTTTCGGGCCCCCCAAGAGGTCTGTTTGAGACTAGTTTGATAAAATCCAGGTGTAGCTGGGGATGTCCCACTGTGAGCAGACATCTCATGATTCATCTCTGCTACGTACACAACATTAGTCACGTGACTCAAACTACGCCTCCTGATTGGTCCGCCGCTACCTACCGTCTGCAGAAAGAGGTCGGTGCATGTGTAGAAGAAAATGGCGCACAAAGGTCTCTTCGGACGGGCTTTAGAAGACACGTTCAAAGTCACGACATCGAGAGACGGAAGCAGAAGCTTTTTTGGTAAGACGATGTGCTGTTAAACCTTATTATCGGCAAGACTGTAGACATAGTATCACATCATCAGATGCAGGCACATATCCAGGCTTGGGGGAGGGGGGCATCTTGAAATATTTTGGATGGAAAGTCCCAACATATATAAACGCTTCATACTCATAGTTCCGCTTTTTATATTTAAACGATTAAGACTCCAGCTTATGTTCCTTCACAATTTTCTGTTAAGAATACTAGACCTTGCTGAACATATGTGGCTCATATTGGTGGTAACGTATCAGAGAAAATGATATATTTTTCACAGGATAATAATTTTGTAAATTTTAGTTCCTTTGGCCAAGCATAAACTAGAGGTTCTTGAAGTTGGTATCACAAAAATATATGTGTCATGCATCTGTTACCCTTAGATTGATAGATCATAACAGATGAAATTTTTTGATGATGAAAGGCAGACATGATATGATTAGCGAACCATTCCAGGCCTGGGCCGGGCCTGCTCAGGTGGCTGCTATCTGCATGATCTGAAACAGATGCAGTTATGCACAGCAGCATAACATCTGAACACTTAAGTTAAGAATGAGTAGACACAAAAAATGCTGTGTATTGTATCCTTCCTCTGATATGTACTATGTCATCAAGTTATTGAGCAGTCTACACTACTACTGTATGTATCACTGTAGTGTAGACTATGGTTCAGTTGTTTCAGTGTAGAAGTCGGAAGGTTACATGTGTTCAGACTCAGAATCAGAGCCGAGTCTCTCTGTTTTAGGTCACGACGACAGAACGTCCTCCGGATCCAGAGACAGGAGTGGTGGGTTCGGGTTTAACCGAGATCGAGGCGGTGGTGGCGGCGGCGGCGGTGGATCTTGGCGCGGCGGCTACGATCAAAACCGTGACGGGGGGTACAGGTCACGAGGCCGCGGTGGACAGTCCAGGGGTTCCAGCCGTAACAGATACCGAGGAAACCGCCGGGGAGGATGGAAGAGAGGAGGACGGGGAGGAGAAGGGGGAGGGCCGACGCCCAGGTCCAGATTTGAAGATGACGAGGGAGATATTCAGATGTCTGATGATGGCACCGAATCACAACAGAGTCAGAGATAGTATGTAACTGTTATTACCTTCGCCAAGAAGGTTATGTTTTCGTTGGCGTTCGTGTGTCTGTGTGTGTGTGTGTGTGTGTGTGTGTGTGTCAGCACGATAACTCAAGAAGGCTAAGACGGATTGTCTTGATACTTGGTAGGTGGGTAGGTCTTCATGAGACGTGGAACTGATTAGATTTTGGGCCCCCTAGCGGCTTGTTATGGTACTGCAGCTAAACTTCCGGTTTTGCTATCTCGTGATCTAGACATGCTGGGGTGACGAAATTTGGTTGGAAGGTAGCTCTTGTGCTGGGGAACTAGTGACGTGAGTTTTTGCCCCCTAGCGGCTTGCTCTGGAACTGCAGGGGCATTAGTTGAAAAATGTTTAAAGGCGGATAACTCAAGAACCGATGGATGGATCGTCGTGATTTTTGGCATGTAGGTAGCTGAAGTGATGCTTGACATAATGATATTACAATTATGCAAATATTAATGTAATTTGCATAATTAATGAGGAAATTCTATAAATCAGCTGCATTCCATGATAGGATTATTCAAGCTTGTGACATATGTAATTCAGAACGGCAGAAATACAGGCAGATATTGATTATGCAAATGAAGACTTAATTTGCATAATTAACGAGAAAATGTTATAATTACATAGTGGTAATGTCTGGAATTTCATACTTGGGATATTTGAAAGTTATGTGAAGGTGAACATAATTAAACATAACTTATTCAAATAAGGACCTCATTTGCATAATTTATGAGGACATGCTATAATGGCATGCATTGATAAGATAAGACTGTCTTACTGGTGAGAATATGATCAACAGATATA